TGCATCACCTTACTGAGAACTGCCAGGGGAGCATGCACTGCATCACCTTACTGAGAACTGCCGGGGGAGCGTGCACTGAAGCAGGACAGACATGTACCTGAGTGATCTCGTTTATTACCACGTGGTTGCACTGGGCTTCATACTCTGGTCGGGGCTGTTCCTCCTGCTGGAGCTCAACGGTGTCCCATTCATACTCCAGCTCTGCCTGGCGACGCTTCCAAAACTCCAAAAACAGCGTAACTGACAAGAGAGAAGAGAAGAGGACAGCGTGGCTCATTGAGGCAGGTGTGGAATGCCACGCCGGGAATGCCACTTTCACTCTTGGGGTGAGCACAATCTATTTATAGATTTAAATAACATTTAAAAGCCAGAAAATGTTTTCTTTTTTAAATGAAAATGTTGGTAATTTACAAATACTGTGAAACATGATGGTGGGGAGAGGTGAGGGGAATGATCAGAAGGCAAGCATGCATGTCAGACACAAAGCCCGCAACCCACGCTTCGCCAATGGAACACACAAATAGTTCACTATTCCAGAGCAGTCCATGGTTCGGCCTTTCCCTACACCCTCATTCTCCTCTTCTCCCCCCTCCTCTGGGACTGGGAGAGAAAGAAACACTTACTTTAGTGCCCTCTAAATAAACTAAAACAATATTTTTATATGAAAAACTGATCTATTTCTCAATTTTGTATAAATATAAAAAATAGGCATCATATTTTTCATATTTTGTAACTCAAAAAAACTACAAATGTTAAGTCTTAACTGAAGATGCAGCTTCCGGGTCAATTCCCTAGGCTTCCCGTGTTAGCCTACTGTTCAGATGCAGCTTCCAGGTTGATTCCCGAGGCTTTCTGAGTTAGCCTACTGTCCAAACCCTTCTGAAAACTCTAAAATGATCACAGTTCCACTCGCAAGTGCTATCCAAGTGTCCACTACACGCTAAGAACAGAACAAGAAAAAGCAAAAGAGCCTCCTAGATGTATGGGAATGACAGGCACAGCAGACAGAGGAGGAACAGACTGTTCTAGACACACAACCGGGTCATCAACAGACGACCGGTTCTCAGCCTGTGCCTCATGGCTCTAGCAGGGTCACATGGCCCACATATCAACTATCCCACAGATCAGATATTCACATTATGATTCACAGCGGGGCAAAATTACAGTTGTGAAGTAGCAAAGAGAATAATTTTATGGCTGGGGGTCACAAGATGAGGTTGCAGCATTAGGAAGGTTGAGAACCACAGCAGACCTTTCAGGAAATAAACCTTCCGGAGGAGGGGGGACCAGGTCTTGGGATGGCTGAGGTGATCAGGTCATGAAGGAAGGCAGCAAATTTAGCTTCCTCCTTGGTACAGCTGCCCATGAGGAGTCAAGGAGGCCAGGGCACTAGGCGCTTTCCACTCTGGTTGTGACTGAAGGGTCATGGTGAGGACAGCCAAGTGACAGACCTCGCAGGAGGGCATATTACAAAGGATATTACAAGCCTAGAAAGGAGCTAGGCATTTAATAAAGGTTGGGAGGAGCATGGACGTGGTCTAGCATGAACACAGGTGCGGAAAGACCTGCACACAAACACCAGAGAAGGTGCCAAGGATGTTGATGTGGCTGGAATGGATGCAGGTGTAATGAAGGGGCTAGAAGAAGGCAAGAATGCAGGCAGGGTTTCTGGTCCGAGCAGTGCAGTAGGGAAAGACATCTCCGAGGGAAGACACTGGGCCAGCGTGGCACGCTGAATGAGGATGACCCTCACCCCCAGGGTCATGGCTTTGTCCCTGGCTGGTGGGACTGTTTGGGGAGGATTAGGAGGTGTGGCCTTGTTAGAGGAGGTGTGTCACAGGGCGCACCATTCCTAGTAAGCTCCCTCTCAGCCTCCTACTTGGGGATCAAGCTGTAAGCCTCACCATGACAGACTCTTAACCCTCGGAAACAGGAAGCCCACTTAAACATTCCTTTATATGTTTTGTTTTATCACAGCAACAGAACAGTAACTTGGACAGCCAGGGATGTTGTGAGCCTGTGGGCAGGCGTCTAGTCTAGGGGACTGGAAGGGCCAGCCATGCCAGGAGTCTAAGTGTCGGGGCTGGGGGTGGAGGAGATCACTAAAGGAAGGGTCTACAGTGGTAAGCCTCACTGAGCTGCAAATAAGAGGTACTGGGGAGCTTAAAAAAAAATCCCAAGCACAGGCAACAGCCCCGAGATTCAGGTTTAACCGGCTGGGAATGAGGAATGGTGTCTGCGCACAAGTGTTTGTTGCTATTTTTTCTTGCAGTCAAGGTTGAGAGCTGGGCCTGCAAAGCAGAGTGGAAAGCCAGAAGCTAGGAGGAGAGTCTGGGATGCTGGAAAAGGAGTCTGAGCTCAACACTTTGCCCAGGTGAAGGCCAATGAAGCGCTCAAGCTCCCACTTCCCCAGCCTCGCTTGTGTGACGACCCCACCAATGGTCAGCTGGAGCAGAAGTGGCCTGCAGGTGGAATTGGTTCTGCAACGGGAGGGCAGAATGCTGGTTCCACTGAAAAGCCCCCAGGCCTTCAGTGTCCTTGAACTTGCGTAAGGGGAACTGCCTGTCACTGGACAAACACCTTCAGCACACGAGGCAGTATTGTGGAACAAGCTATGACTGCTGGTCTTGTCATCCACAGGAGCTCTGCTAGCCTCGAGTGGCAGACATTTCCTGAGACCCCTGCTGGGGAGCAGGAGCGACCCTGTGGCAGCCCTCTGAGGCTGACTATGGATCTAATGCCCCTCAGAAAATACCCACACAGCCTATCAAACAGAAGGTCTACTTTCATTTACCCCAGAATTCTGCCAAGCCTATGGTTTGCTCCAGAAGCTGACTCCACTGTCTGGTAACTATGAGAGTCATTCTAGTAAAGCATAGCCTCTCTCACAAAGAGCACCCCGTTTCCTCTGCCAGCCCCCTTTTCTCTTCAACACAGGTAGCATGCACGCAAGCCTGGCCTGCCGAAGCTTCTAGGTCTAGCATCTGTCACAGCCACAATGGTACTGTCATGGAGGCAGGGATGTTCTGTTCGCTGATGACGCATTAGCATACACTAGGCACTTAACAAATGCACTGAGCGAATAAATGAAAGGGAATGTCCCAGAAACTGAGTACCCCACAACCGCAGCCCGAGGAGCCATTCTTAGGGTTCCCAGCGATCACTGCCTGCTCGGCTCTGTTGGATGTACAGCTTCACCAGTCTCTGATACGCCAGTCGACCCGGGTCAAATGCTTCGTTTCACTGAGTCTTGTTTGTTTGTTTATTTTCCAATTCATTAGTTTTTATCCTCCTTTAAATTATTTTTTTCTGCTTACTGATTTTGGGCTTCTCTTTTTCTTGTTTTTTGAAGGCCTGAAGGTACCTTAAATTACTTACTTGCCACCTCTTTTATATTTTAATGTAAGTACTTATAACTATAAATGTCCTTACTACTCTTTAAATTGTACTGACCAGGTTTCCAGTGGGTTAGTGTTTTAATTTTCATTTGCATCTCAGAACTTTTTTTGAGTTGTTTCTTGATTTCTTTAATGACCCATTGATTTATTATGCAACTGTGTATTGTTTGATCTTCAAGAATGTGCCTGTTCTGTTTTAAATGCATTTTTTATTATTTTAAAAAACTGTGCTTGCAGGTGCCTGGCCAGAGGCATTGGATCCTCTGGAGCTGGAGCTACAGGTAGTGGGAGCTGCCTAAAACCGGCACTGGGAGCCGACCACAGGCCCTCTGTACGAGCAGCGCCATCGTTGAACCATTTCTCCAGTCCCCAGCTTGTCTATAGTGATTTCAGTCTTCTCGTGTTTGTAAAGCCTTGCATATGACCTATTTTGGAGAAAGCACCACGGCTGCCAAGAATGTATTTGGATGTAGCTCTCTATCGAGGTCCATTTGATCATGCAACTCAGATACTTCTTTGTGGCACTGATATTTTCTAGCCCCTTCCTACTCTTTTGAGCCCTACGCAAAGCATAGGCATATTAAAATATAATTAAATCAATAAAAATCAAACATTTCTACCTCTTTCTAAAACCCTTGCTACAAATTTCTAATGTACATTTTTGTTGTTGTTGTTTTATCTATCTATCTATCTATCTATCTATCTATCTATCTATCTATCTATCTATCTATCTATCATCTATCTATTTATTTGAGGCAGGGACTCTCTATGTGGCCTTGGCTGTCCTAACTCACTATGTAGACCAGGTTGGCCTGGGCACCGCAGGGATCTGCCTGCCTCTGCCTCTCATGTGCTGGGATTAAAGTTGTGTGTCACCGTATCTGGCTCACAATGTGTGTGTCACTGATTGGAGGTGGAGAAAAGTCAAAACTCTGTAGAGCTCTTATTTGGCGAGGCCGTGGGCAGCTTAATCTACCTGAGAGTGGCTTTCTTCACTTTTAAAGCCATGACACACACACAGAATGTAGGAAGCAACTCCATCAATAGAGGAGGATTCATGAAGATAACTTTTCTCTCAAAGAGCAACAGAACCAGTTCTAAGGGGCACCTAAGGGGAGACCAGCGGTTCCCTCCCCACTACTTCCGACCTTAAGGGTTGACAGTTGTCTACTTCCTGGGTCATTTTACCTTGGAAGCAACTGAATTTGAAGGGAGTTAAGTGACCAGGTGGAAAATACAGAGTTCCTAGCAGATTTTCTACCTTGAAGGCAAACCCCAGGGGTTGCAAGAACGGGCCAGGATTCTTCACTTTATTCACATCCAAGAATGCTATGGGGGTGCAATTACCCAGTGTTTTAGGCTACACCTAGGAACTATGAGTGTAGGCTCTTAAGCTGTGTGTCCTAGAATGGGAGGAATTGCTGTTCTGTATCTTCTGTTCTGTGTTCCTATAATATAGTAAGCTGAGTTCCATTGGCTAGCACTGTAGTTTAGTACCCACACAAAACACACACTAGGAGGCTCTAGCCCTGTGGTTCTCAACCTGAACATCATGACCCCTTTGCAGGGAAGGGGGGCCGAGAGGCCCTCTTTTAGGGGTCACATAGCAGATATCCTGCATATCATATATTTATGCAACTCTTCATAACAGTAGCAAAATTACAGTTATGAAGTGACAACAAATAAATTTATGGTTGGGGAGTCACAAAGAACTGTATTAAAGGGTTACAGCATTAGGATGAAGACACCCAAACAACAACAACAAAATGGTTGAGAGCAGTATAGTATTACATTTTGTAAAAGGGCAAGATATAAACCCTGAGAGGTAGAGGTATTCGGATGCTGCATGAGTCTAAGATGTCTTAATAGGCCTCTAACTGTTCGGATGTCATTATTTCCAATATTCTATAAGGTAAATTAGCTTGCTCGCCCCATCCCATCTTTCTAACCCAGACTCTCTTGCAGCTAGGGTTCTAGAAATGACTTTCTAAGTGCTCACAAGCATGTCTGTGTGTCACTGAAATGGAGACAGAAGAGGGAGCAGCAGGGACAGCTCAGGCCCGGGACCACCACGTGCATCCAGTTCCTTGATCCCCCACATGCAGGTCATTGGACCTTCTGTTCCCCCAGATCTTCAGGAACCAGGGGTCTGGCAGTTTCCCAGAGATCACTAGGCCTTGTTTAAAACTCACCCTCACAAGTGATCACTGAAAAATAGTATCATTTAGCCACATGCGTAAGCCAAGAGAGACAGGTAAGGAGGAATGATGGGGATCTTTATTGTAGGACCCCACAAGGCAGCACTGTCTCCCAGGCTGGTGCAGCCTAAATGGGGGATATTTCTAGGCAAGTGTATGATTAGTATCATACCGATTATGAATGTTTTCTGCACGCAATGTTTTCCATTTCCTGAGAACAGAGAGAAATAGGCAGTGCCGGACACCTTGTGCGGAAGGAGATGTTACAGGAGAGGAATGGGGGCCTTGGAGGCCCCCACCGCCTCGACTCTGCCGCTTCAGACAGAGGCTCACAGCGGTTGTCCTCACAAAGCAGAAGTAACAAGGAAACCAGCATAAAGCACTTAGAGAGTTGCTCAAATACAGATGCTTTAAGATGGGCACATACGATGCTACAAGCCATGCAGAGACACTTTCTGCATTCTGAAGTCAGACAAGACGGATCGGCAGCCTGATGCATGACAGTTCCATAACTAGGGTGTAGTTAATGGTCACAGAAGGGAATATACATATATATACACACAACACACATATATATGATGTAGGTGGGTCTTCTTTCTATATGTTGCTTTCATTGGTTAATTAATAAAGAAACTGCTTGACTGCTTGGCCTGATAGGTCAGAACATAGGTAGGCGGGGAAGACAGAACAGAATTGTGGGAAGAAGAAGGCAGAGTCCAGAGAGCCGCCTACCATGAAGCCAGGTGGCTTCAGGTCAAGCATGCTGAATCTTTCCCGGTAAGCCACGACTTCGTGGTGGCATACAGATTATTAGATATGGGTTAATCAAGATGGGAGAGTTAGCCAAGAAGAGGCTGGAGGTAATGGACCAGGCAATGTTTAAAAGAATACAGTTTCCGTGTAATTATTTCGGGTAAAGCTAGCCGGGCGGGCCGCGAGAAGCCGCCCGCCGTTCATTTAACATATACATACACACATACATATATGTAGATAGCCTTATTTAAAATGTCTTCTGTTTAGAATTGTAGAGATCAGAAGCTGTAGCTAAGGCAACAGGAAGGAGTGGAGGACAACACAGAGGCTTTTACTACTCGAATCCGAGCCAAAGTCTCACTTACGCCAGAGACGGGCCCATCCTACACTTCTGTGTCAAGTATTTCCCACAGGGAGGCTTCCAGTGAAACATGCAAGTGTCTCAAGGACACTGCAGTGCTTGTGGATACGTCTTAAGGGTACAAAATACCATTTGGTGGCCTTTCACAGGTCCAGCCACCACCCACCCTGCAAGGACCCTCAATGCTCACTTGCGCATGTGTGCGCGCGCGCGCTGATGTCTCGCCTTTCTGGCTGAGAAAGGCACGGCTTAGTTTGCTCTTCCCTGTAACCTGACGCTGCCGATCCCAGCCTACGCCCGGAAACGAAACGCATGCACCTTTGAGAATGGGAATTTTCCCTCTACCTAAGAATATTTACACTAATTAAACACTCAAAAGTCTGCATTTAAATAGAATGTGTTCCTCGTTATGCTATTGATGCGACACAGAGCTTACACGTTAAGACTGCCTCTTTTCTATGAAGCAGGCTCAACTGGTACTCCCATGCTGCTCCCCGCCTTCCCCTGCACCCCCAGGCTGGATTCCAGCTGCGGGAGTTGTAGCATGGGGATAAGCATCCCTGACCTGCAAACCATGCTGAGTGCTGACTTACAATAATGCTGTGATTTTGGAATATTTTAGATTTTGTATTGTCTGTTTATGGATGTTCCTATGATAGTCTTATCAAAGGGAGGAGGGAAGAGGAGGAAGAGAAGAAGAGGAGGAAGAGGAGGAAAGGAGTCTGAGTTCTGAAACACTTCTGGTCCTGAGCACTCGGGATAATGGGTACTGAAACTGTAATGGCTCCCAATGACTCGTGCCTTTTGCCCTTGGGTAGTCTCCTCCATCTCATCCCTCATTGCTTAGGCTTGGCTGCCTGACTTGCTGCAGCCGATGGGACATTAGCAAACAATGCAATAACAGACCCAATGCCACTGTTGCATATGTGGTCACATCTTGCCTAGCAAGTGGGTACTCAGGGGGCGATAGTGACGTGACTTTTAAAGGAGCGATCAATTGTTTTCTGATTGGGTTTGGGGTCCGTCTCACAGAAGAGATTTCAGGCCTGGTATTAGAAACCTGTCCAAAAGCCCATGGCAGAAGAGGTCATAGGCTCGAGGGTGGGGCTGTGATTACCTTTAGGATAACCAAACAAAAGATGCCAGCCCAAATTACAAGACAGGGGTGAGCTCACAAGATCCCACCCCTAACTAAGGAGCTGCTGGCGTTCAGTCGCTGCTTGGGGAGGGAGACTCATTCTTTGGAGGGGCGGCGAGAGGTAGGCAACCCTGCTCTAGTGGATGGTGGCACACCCACCTAGCACTCACTGGACTTAGCGGACTATTCTAGAAAAGAAAAGGAGCCTATGAAGTTGAGAGAGGGCCTGGAAGGAACTGGAGAGGGGAAGTGGGGGGTATATGTGATCATATTTCAGTGTGTATAGATGAATGAAATTCTCAAAGAACAAATATCAATAATTTTTAAAGCTGTCACAACATTGTGTTTCTTTGCTTCCTTTTGTAGCTCTGAAGCCCCATAAAGAATCCAAGGTGAGACCATTTGAGGGTGAGAAACCACATGAAACCCCGTAGACCAAGCCAGGCTTCTTGCTGTCAGAACACCCCTTTCCAATGCAGCCAGTGGCTTACCACAGAGACCAGCGGAGCCAGGCCATGTGTGACCCAGGGAATCGAGAGAAATAAGGAAATGAGAAACCAGGGGCGCTGGGGAAGCCACAGCCTTTGAAGTAGATTTTCACACAGCAAAATCTAATGACATCGACAAATGAAGCTCTCAGCCAAGACATGGTCCTGAAAGTGGGCGACTTCAATAGCTTACGCAAGATTGCACCCACACCACCAAACCGAGAGAAAGGCGAAAGTAACTTACCCCACACTCCCATAAACACGGCAAAGACCAGGGTTCCAAAACTGTCAAAGATGCACAATTTCTGGAAAATACAGCAATGACACACAAATAAGTGAATCGTTCGCTTATCAGAAGCCAGCAAATACATAACGCTCGGCGTATTCTGTAGCTTGCGCGCTTGCGAGGGCCGGTGCTGGCTTAGCAATTGCTACACGGACGGCAGACTCACAGATGGAATTTCTCCCACTTTAAAAGCAAACAGCTTTCACCGTCTGAACCCAAGTGCATTTTCTAAGGGAAATCTCCCCACACCGCGATAAAGAAATAGGCGCATCTGCTAAGATTGCAGGCCGATAGAGCTGCTTTTATGAGCTGCCAGAGAAAGGAAAGACACAGCCAGCGGCTCTAAGAATCTAGTGCCCTCTAAGCAACTTTGTGATCTGCCTCTTATCATTGTCTCATTCCCCTCAGAGGATGAGTTCCAGAAATACTTCTTTGCTTATTTAAACACACACACACACACACACACACACACACACACACACACACAAAGCTGTTTATGTGGGAATAGCTTTTCTGCAGGCCACTCTGCCTCCTCAACCCAAGGACAGCCCTGCTCTGGCACTGACGAGCTTCCTTCCGGCGGCACAAGGGCAGGACTGGTGTCTCCATCAGATCACCTGTGCAGTTATCATAAAGGATTACTCTCTCTGTTGCCAAACTTGATCTCTTTGCAGATAGATACACAGCCTTTACGCCTTCCTGGAAACTTTCACTGGTACCAACTTTCATTAGTGAGCGTCTAAAAACTTCCTTAAGATAGACCCCACGAAGCTAATGGAAAAGTGGGAGGCTGCCACGTGCAGAGTAAAGGAGGTGGGGCAGGGTGTGTGTGTGGGGTGGACGAAGGCTCTGAGGGAACAAGGAAACTAACTTCACAGTGATAGCATATTCAAAGCTGTCTAAGTAGGAAGTGTACTTTGCTTTGGATAGTTTTTTTTGGGGGGGTGCCTTTTATACTCAAAGTAATGTAATTTTCATGTATGCAAAACCATTGGTTATTTTCATAAGACATGTTATCCAGTTAGTTACGTTCTCATTCACATAGTTTCCGAAGCAGATATAAGTTCCCTCAACCATCCATGTCGACTTTGATCAAACAGCATGGTTCTAAATGGCCTCCTGAAACAATTCTTCCTCAAAAAAACCAAAAAAAAACCAAAAAAAAAAAAACCAAAAAACAAAAAAACCCTTCAGCTCAGGAAAGATGGACTTTGTCACAGCTGATGTCCCGCAGACTAGAGCTGAGGCTGGTGTCCCACAAACGATGCTTTCCGTATCTTTTGTCTTTGCTTTTGGAAAACCCACCTGCTCTGAGATGTCTTTCAACATGATGCTCTACCCTTTATTGCAAATACCTGCACACAAAGAGCGGATCCCAAAAAGATTCCAAATGTGGAATCTCCTTCCCAAGATCCCATCCAATGTCACTCCAATTTTGAAATTGGTACACGCCATGCCAAGGAGGGATGTACCTGGTATCTCAGCACGGGGGTAGACATACATGAAGCTGCCATGCTATTCATATACGTGAGAACCATGGGCACAGGACAGGAAGTAGACATTTGACCTTTCTGCTTTGTCCCACGAGAGCTATGGGAGTAGGAGTAGGGAGACAGCAAGGGACATGCATAGCAACCTGACTTAGCTCAACTGGCAGCGGGCACAGAAGACCAGATGTCAAATTAAGAACAGCCCCACATCAGCTGCTGGTTAGTGAACATCTCTTCAGAAGAGAGGAAGAAATTGGTAAATAAATCAACGTAGTAAAGACAGAAGGAAGAAACTCCTCCCCTCTGCCCCACCCCTCCCACCCTTTCCCTCAGAGGCTGGTCTTCATCTCCTTCTCTTTGCCCATGACTCCCACAAGATTCAAGAAGTCCTCTAGGAAAAACAACAGAACTAAAGACCCTCCACCCCGGGTACCCCGAACAATGAAAGACACTTCATAGTTCTAAGCTAAGGTGGGGTAGGTGGAGTCTAAGGAATGAGAATGTAAGTGAGGAGGAGAGGGAGGAGGAAAGGGCATCTTAAGAAGAGACCTTCCACTGTGGCTTCCTGGGTGCATCACCACTGCACCTGTCTTAGGGCCAGAGCCTCTGGGAATGCACTAACAAGTGTCTTAATTTATCAGCCAAAACCCAGTGACCACCAGCAGCTCACCTGAGTCTTGGTGTAAGCCACAACACACAGGCTACTAGTTCATAGTCTAGGCATTGCCTTGGCTCAAGGGGCAGGCAGTTAAATCTTTTTAAATCTATACATTAAGTGTAGAAATTGATAAGGCTGACAACGCACCACAAGCATTGTAACTAGTAGCGGAGCAAGTTTTTCAGACACAAATCTGGATTTCGGGGCTGTGTGCCTGGTGCCACCAGCCAGTGAGGAATGTGGCATGGCCATGTGGGCATCATAGACCTGCTGCAGCCCCTGTCCCAGCCAGTCTCCAGGTGTGTGAGCGGAACACACCCGCTTTGTCTCTCAGGGCCTCAGTGTTTCAGCCTGTAAGATGAGAGAATGACTCTCCCAACACCACAGGTGCTGGGTGCCAAAGCTGATGTTACACATCACATAAATCGGGTCTAGAAAGATGGCTCAGCAGGTTTGCTGCACAAACCTGGCAACTTGGAACCCCCAAAACTGAAAGGGAAACCAATTCCACAAAATTGTCCTCTCTAACGCTTGTGTGTGCACACACACATGTGCATGCACACACACAGTTGCTAACAATATTAAAGTACAAAAATCAGTACTCCTGAAAAGGGAGACTTCCATGAACTATGTCAGAATGTCCCAGGACTACATGATGATTCCCCAGCCTCCCGTGGCGGGCCAAGAGGACAGAGAAGAGCCCCATCAGAGACTATTACAGTCATGAGAGGCCAGGCTGGTTTCTTCCTTGCCGAGGAAAAGCACCTGTGATGTAGGCAGAATCAATCTCTCATTTTCCAGGCTGGAAGCCGAGGACCTAAGTGATCAAGCTGTCCGTTAAGCCCACTGCTGCTCAGCACACCCCTCCTATCTCAGTGCTCTAAAGACCCAGGAAGCCTGCCCCCACTTGCTAGTATTTGGAGTGCCATGAGTGTCCAGAAAGTATCTTACCAACCACCGAGTTACAAACCCTTCCTTCTGCATGAACAGCAATAGCCTTAACTGACCAGCAGGGCCTTTGAAAACCCATGCTTTGAAAGGGGGAAGAAACACAAACCACATGATTATAAACGTCAGGCTGCAGAAGCACACATTTTAGGTTTCCGCTCACTTGAACACTTGCAACAGTAAACCCATGGCTGAGGCTACTGCTCAGAGGTAGGGCAGCCCCCAATCCTGAGAAAACGAAAACTCTACTACTCAAAATAAGCTGAGCTTGAGACTTTTGTTAGATGAGTAACTGAGATTCTTCAGGAGGGTCAAACCCACCACGTCCTTCCTTTCCTGGGACTAAGCTGTCACTTAATTTATGACCTGGAAATGTAGCAGAAGCAAGTACACTGTACACTCCCTTCCAGTGTGGGGGAAATGCATTTCTATTTCCCCAGAGGAGGAATAATTTATATGTTATAATTAAGTGATTATTTTGTGTAAACATTTAGAGGAGCAAAAATTACCTTGGAAGATTCACAGGTGACATTCAGCCTCCAGAACGGACACAGCTTGTCGCACTGGGGACACATCAGGATCTGGCCACCAATATCAGGATCACAGACCTCTTTGCTAACAAAAGAGAAAATAAAGCAACTCAGAAACCTTAGCGGAAGGCTTTCGTTTTCTAGACACATAAGAAAATCCAAGTCTACCCACGACGAGCAACAAACTGAAGCCTACGAAACAGGGTCATGGGTGACAGCCATAATTCTAATGACGGCTTGTCACATAGAAGCTATAAAAAGCATACGGGATAGTAAATGGTCTACTTCTTTAAAAATAGTTTTTTTTTTTTACATATTTCAAAAATTTTTAACCTTTACTTTTATTTATCTGGGTGGATGTTTGGCCAGCATGTATGTCTATGCACCATGTGCACAGAGGCCAAAGCAGACATTGGATTCTCTGGGACTAGAGTTACAGATGTTTGTGAGGCAGCAAGTGGTCCTCTGGAAGAGCAGTCAGTGCTCTTAACCACTTAGGCATCTCTCCAGCTCCTAATATTTTAATATAATATTTTTTATTAATCTTTCGAGAATATCACACAATGTCTAAATCTACCCTTAACTCAGGGGTATGACAAAGGGTACCCTCTATAGCTGCTTTGGTTGGAGGTCTCTGAAGCACAGAGAGCCAGAGAAGCAAGTCTGTGAGTACAGGGAGGAGAGATACCTACTGTCCCCACATCCACCCAGGAACCTGCCATTCTCCACAAACCCTTCCAGGAGCTGGCTTTATTTGATATAGAAATCACACTTCTACTTCTCCTTTTGTGAGCCTCAGACAGAAGCAACTTAACTCCTTCCCCTGTTCCCCACAGTATTTGTCAAAGCATTATGTGTGGCCTTGAATCCAGAGATAATAAGAGCATATTTAGTGAAGTTTGTGGATACAAAATCAATATATAAAGTAAACACAGGGAAACAAAAGAGATTTTCTCCTTATCTACCTGTAACAACTGGGAAATAATTTTTAAAACCTGCTTTTCAGTAGCTTAAAAAGTATAGTGTCTAAGAATGCATCTAATCAAAGATGTATTAAGATTTATAGGGAAAAAAACTAAAAATTTTTGTCAAATATAGCAAAGATCTGCACTATGATTTTCAGAATTGCTTGTGGTGATCAGTATTTGTGTTAGACAGCTTCCATTTAATCTACTCATCTCATAGACGACCCAAAGTTCAGGACAGACAAGTTCCTAGTTGGGTACTGCTGGCACAAGCTAAAACAATCAACTACCAGCACAAAAGGAAACACACAAAGATTTCTACCTATATCCAAAGATCTGGTCCCCAAATTAGGAAGACCAGAATGGACAGTTCAATTCATGACATTACAACAAACAAGAACTTAAATAAGCCGCAATCATATCACCAAAATAAATTCCACTTAAGAAATGAGAAAGACAACTACAGAATTGGAAAAGGGAAGAGCTGGACTGGCGATGGGCTCCACGGTGAAAGAGTACGCTCTCCTGTTGCAGAGGACCTGAGCTGGGTCCCCAGCACCTACACAGGGTGGCTCACAACTGCCTGTAACTCTAGTTCCAGGGGACCTGATGCCCTCTCTGGCCTTTGGGGGCACCTGTGCACTCATGTGCAAGCATGGACTAGACGTACACACACAACTGAAAAATGAAGGATATCTTTTTAAAGGAGAAAATAACAATAAAGAATATTTAAATAATCTTAGGTTAAGGAGAAATGTTGTCAATGTGGAAGACACAGAGGAAGTTACTAATACATTTAAGATTTAATGAGAAGACGCAAGAGGTTGTAGATTGCTCCTACTGGTGGTGCCATTTTATACAGAATGGGGCCAGCATTATCGTTGGTCAGGTGACCATGCAAACAACCCAGAGAAATGAGTGGGTTTGGGAAGCAAGTCTGAGAGAGCTGAGTAAGCGCTCAGCAAACCTACTCATTCACAGAGTCAATGAGAACGATGACAAGAATGTTCAAACTCACCCTTTCCTGAACTCTGAAAGTTAACTGAATGCTTACAGTCGCTTAATGACCCTCCCATCGTGTGTGTGTGTGTGTGTGTGTGTGTGTGTGGTGTGTGTGTGAAGGGGCTGGTCCATGTGTGAAAAACACAGCTTTGTAGCATTTTCACTAGGCTGGTTGCCATGTATGTCTCCCCAGGTTCATGGCAGCCTTAAAACCCAGCAGCCGTCCAGCTATGAACGAGAGCAGCCTCCCAGCAGCCGAGTGGGGCAGACAGTGTCTGTAGCTGTTCCAGGGACCCCTCCCCAGGCGTGTCAGTGTTAGACCTGCCCAGCATCTCCCCGAAACAGCTTCATGGTGAGTTTTCTCATTTTTTCACCTCATACCCAGAGCTCAGACTGGGAGAAAGCCCAATCCCCCATGTGTGCTTTAAGAATCTCCATGAATTACTTAACATAGCACCTGCTTGAGTCCTTAAACTCAAAAACTTTAAAGGAAGAACTAGGTATGCTCTGTCCACAGACAACAAACCTCCAACATATCCGTGAGATGTATGTAGAAGTACACAAGGCAGAAAAGATCTGAGAACCTGGAGGCTAGCCCTGGGGTTCTGCATAACCCGGAAGGAAGTCTCAAGAGAGCTGGATACTGTTCACTGGAGTGTCGGGCACATTCCCTGTATACACGGGGAAAGGGCAAAGCCCAGCACTAAGGAAATCACTGCAATCCAACTGCTGTCTAAAGATCTCCTGAACACAGACTTTAGTGCCCATATAAGGCAGGTAATACAGACCCTGGGCTCAGTCCAGGAAAGAAGCAAGAGCAGCAGGAGCAGCAACAAACCCTGAGGGGAAATCTGGTTCCCAGGGTTCTTACAGTGAAATATTTAAAATGTCAAATTCTCAACACTGCAAGTCTCAGGCACATCAGAAACCTGAGAAGTTCAGAGAAGTACTTCAGAAGTTCAGAAGTAACAGAGCAAGGGCCAACCCGGGGATGCCGGCACATTCTATTTATTAAAGTCTTTAGATAAGTAAGTATGCATGGAGAACTGAAGGAAATCACCCGTAAGGGATTAAAGAAACAATGTGAGCATGTCTCACCAAATGGGAAAGCAGCAAGCTAAAGGGAACTAACCAGACTCTTAAACAAAGCACAATAACATCAATGAAAAACTTCACGAAAGGCACTCCTCTGTAGATAACCCACTTAATGTTGTATCTGTTAAGATTATACAGCCTGAGAAATGGAAAGGAATAGGAAACACCCATGAATCCAGCTTCAGATAGCAATGGGACTCCATCAAACACACCAGCGGATGCATCCTGCAAGATGCAGAAGGGGAAAAAAACGATAGAAGGAATAATTGAAGGATGGCCAAAACCTTCCAAATTTTCATGAAAGCTTTACATCTGAGAAACTCAGCAGGCTCTAAGAAGGATACATTCAAAGAGATTTACACCTAGGAAGACCATACTCAGAGGCTAAGACAGAGCCCAAGCAAAGAATCCCAACAGCAGGAAGAGACTCGTGACTGGCCACATACAATGCTCCTCAGAGAGGAAAAAAAGCTGGCTCCCTATTAGAAACCTTGAGTCCAGAGGCAGGGGATAATGTTTGCTAAGTGACCAAAGCAAGCTGTGTACCCAGATTCTACACCAGCAAAATTAGTCATCAAGAATGAAGGAAGAATTAATGTAAGTCAAGAAAAACAAACAGCACTTGTTCCTTTCAGGATCTGCCCAACCCTCACAAGACACCAAATTGCCACCCAGATCTTGAACTTCTAATGTCTAGTATGGTGAGAAATAAGCCATGTTAGTCAAAGACTAGCCTGTTAGATTTGTTATATAAAACAGAAAAAGGTCTGATAAGGGACTTCTATGCTGAGCACAGAAAGAACAATGAATTATACGTCAACACCGTTATAGGCAGAAGACTCCAGGAGTTGTTTCTCCAAAGTCACACCAATGACAAATCCAGAAGATACTCAACAGCATCTACATCAGGGAAACAAGACCCACAACAACCAGGACATACCACCTGTGTCAAATAGGATGGCTAATTACAAAACATAAAAATACAACTAAGCAAAGTGCCTACTGGAATCTAGAGAAACTATAGTCCTCACATATGGCTGACAGAAACATGAAATAACATAGTCATTGTAGACAGTACTTTGGTTGTTTCTCACAATGTTAAACAGAGAGTGTATATATATCCCAGCAACTCCACTATTTGTTATATCCCCGAGGGATATGGAACCACATGTCCCCGTGACAATATGTCAGGTAAATGTTCATTTTATACACATATTTCTAACAGCCCCAACATTCATCACTTAATGTATAGATAAGGACTATGGCATACACAGGCAATGGTTTATTATCTGCCCCCAAAGGGATTAAGGTATCAATAAATACAACAAAGAACCTTGAAATAACAAGAGTGATAGAAAGCAGTTGCGAAGAGCCGTGTAACACACAGTTTCACTTACACAGTGTCCATAACAGACAGAGCTATAGACACAAAAGTAGACTAGTGATTTCTAGAGGTTAAGGAAACGAGAAGTTAGGGGATCACTGCTAATAGAGGGGCACTGGTTTCTTCTGGATTGCTGGTTATTTTTCAGTTGCTGTGATAAATGCTATGACCACGCCTATAAAAGAATTTAATCTGGCTTCAATTAAATTCCAGAGAGATAAGTGTCTATCATGGCAGAGGAACAAGCCTGCAAGTGGCGGGAATGGTGGCAGGAGCCAGAAGCCAAGAGCACATCTCCACCACAGGCAGGGAGTAGAGAGAGCAAACTGGAAGTGGGGTGATGTTGTGGAATAATATGTTTGTACGCTGTGCATAAGCGTCACTCAGATTGGTTTAATAAAAAGCTAAACGGCCAATTGCTAGACAGGATTTTCAGGGGAGAGAGAATGCTGGGAAGAAGAAAGGAAGATGCCATGAGATGCAGAGCAGGCAGGATGGGCAGTACATATATGAGGTAAACAAGCCTCGGGGCAACACAGAGATTGATAAAAATACTAACGGTATCTTAAACAACATAGGAAATCATATTATATTTACTCCTAACTACATATACTATGTAAATATATGCATATATTTAAATATGTTCTTAAAATATCAAGCACTTTTTCTACACATGTATATATGTATATGCATGCATGCATATGTATAATTTTTGACTTATAGTGCTTTCCATAGAATCATAGGATATGAACAAAAAACACCAGTAATAAGAATGAAATATCTTTTTGTGTTGTTGGTCAGCATAGTTCAAGAGACTCCCCGAACAATAAAGATATTGTTTTTCTTTTTTTAAAAAAATAGGTTAATTTAAGAACTAGTGAGTGACAAGCCTAAGCTATTGGCTGAGCTTTTATAATTAATAAGAAGTCTCCATGTGGTTATTTGGGAGTTGGCAGGTAGGACAGAAAAATCTGCCTAAAGGGTGCCCAAATCTCAAAGCCCTTTCCCAGTGATGTAATTCCTCCAGCAAGGTCACACTTTTTAAACATCCCCCAACAGTGCTACCAGCTAGAAGACCAAGTGTTAAGATGCCCGAGCCAACAGGGAACAGTTCTCACTCAGACTCACGCGTTCATTCCCTGGCCTCCACAGGCTTAAAGATGTATTTAGTCTAACTTCTAGAGGCTCTGTAGTCTGTAAAAAGTGTTTTAAAGACTGCTTAAAAGTCAAATCTAAAGTCTCTTTTAAGACTCAATTAAGACTCTTAATTCCATCTGTCCCCCATAGAATCAAAATGCAAATTACACACTTCTAGCATATAATGGCTCAGGTTATGCATTACTAGTTGAGAGAGAGGAATAGGGGGGCATATTGAGGAAATACTGGACCAAAGAAAGACCAGAACCCAGCAGAGCAAACAGCAAATCCCATCGCTCTAAATCCAGTGTCTGGGACTATAGTTTCAAAGGGCTTAGACGGCTTTGCCTATCCAACTTTGCTAGCTGCAAGAAACAACCCTCTTGACTGGTTCCACTCCCTGTATGTAGCTCGTCTTGGCAAATATCTCACGGTCCGGGTATAGTCAATATCTTGGGGTCTCCACTGTAACCCAGACCTCACTTTCCAAGTTTCATAAAATGGCCTCTCAGGGCCTTCAGGCAAGGACTCCTAATCCATACCCCATCTCCCTTTCACCTTTTAGCCTCTAAAGTCAGCACCCTGTGATTAACACTGCCAACTCTGGCCACCAGCGGGGGATGGACCATGGTTCCCTGAACCCTATTATAGCAGCTTGTGTTTCCAGCTGCTCTCTAGGGGCAGGGAACACTTGAGTTCCCCCCTCACCACCACAAACTGGAAGCTCAGGTGGGAGGTCCTGGCTCTGGGTGAACCTTTTCCTTTGTTCTAGTGCAGAGCAGACCTCTCCTTAATGCAGCTAACCTCCCTTACAACTACAGCCTCTCTTCTAGCACGTTCTTTGGCAATAACATTAGGCTTCCTAGGGCCCCTTTTCTTTCAAAACTACCTTTGGTATTTCTGCCTCACGTGTTCTTTTTCATGATAAATATGTAGGAGTCACTAATAACAATCAGGGGGCAGAGTCAATATCATGATGCCTTATTGCCTCTGCCCTCATCCCAAATTACTCCATTAATTTTTAATTTAGTTCTCGGGACATGGGCAGAAAGAAGCAAGATTCTTTGCCAAAATACCACAAGAATGGTGTCTAGCCCCATGACTAATATCGTTCCCTTCTGAAGCCTCTTAAGCTGGGCCTCCAAGTCCACACTCTTCTCAGTGCTATTGTCTTCCAGGGCCCTATTAGTATGGTCCTTTAGGTTCTGTCGACAGCATTTAATTGTAGTTTTGGGTACAGGTAGTATGTCTCTAAGACTCTCTTTTTTATTTCCCATAATCTGTGTGAAGTGTCAGGTAGTATGTGGCTATCATGGTTACTTCACAAAAGATTTATAAGGACCTGAGACAGGGGTGATGGCCTCATGGGTAACAGCGCTTGCCCTGTGGGCATCTCATCACTGGCACCTATGTGATAATCCACACAGGGCTGCACACACTGGCACGGGGGCGTAGAGACAGCACGATCCCAGGAGCTCAATGGTGAGCCAACCTAGGAGGAAAGGTGAGCTCTGCCTCAATGAGAGATGCTGCCTCAGGTGATAAGACTGTCAGCAAAAGAGCAAGCGTAAGTTCTGCTCCAGCTTCTGTGTGCTCACACACTCTTGTGCATGGACCACAGCCAACATTCAATACACACACACACACACACACACACACACACACACACACACACACACAAATGGACCTTGCAAAAGTGAAACCCGCTCAGTCGAAAGTTCTATTCTGAGATGCCATGCAGGAGTGGAACTTCTTAGCCCAGCCAAGAAGACAAAGGCAAACAGAGAGAATTCACCAACATCCAGTCCTTGGCTGCAAATTCCTTTTCATGAAGAGAGAGCGAGGACTTCAAACAGACACCCTGGACACACAGGCCCTGCAGCCCGTCAGGCTAATCCATCCAGATGACAAGCAAACACCCCACCTCAGAGCCAAGATGACATGCTTGGGGCTTGAAAGAATTGACCACCTCAGCACTGAAGCCCAGAAACCACACCCTGCCTGTTGCACCTGGACTGAGGCCAGTTCACCAGGAGACAGTGTCTGGGATAGTGAATATCAAAAGCAGCACAGTCCCGCATGCCATAGCACCCAGGGACCCCCCTTAGATGAAGCTGGCATTTAAATGCCAGTATCAACCACAAACAGATGCCTAGGTACTGAGTTATCCCCACCTCCCGACATTGTAAGAAATAATTTTGTTAAATCAAAAAACACAAAACCACAACTGAATCACCCGAGTTTCTGATCATGCAACTCTTCATATAATTTAAGAAAAAGTCATTTCTCAACACAGAAAACCACCAGCTTTCTCACTGAAACCCTAAGAATTCAGAGCTCTTCTTGGCCCAGGTCTGCAAGGTTGTGAAGCATCCCTCAGAAGCTCAAGGGCAACCTTATCTCTTTCTTTTTCGTAGAAAGAACTATCTGAAGATGTCAGCGTGTTCTGTTTTGTTTTCAAATCTAAGACATAGTGCTCCTGTCAGAGGCTGTGTTGGCTTATCTGAGAGAAATGTTTTCTTTCATTCGCTCCAATTCTCGGAACAAAGGGAAGAGATCACACAATGGCGTCTCCTTAACCAAGACAGTCTATATAGCCCTGGAAACACTGTCATGACCAATCAATGTGAAAGAGAGAGTACCTCCAACTGCAGTTATCCTGGTCGAAGTATCCATAGAGGAAGCAGGCCACACCCACCACAGCTGCAAGCAGGAGCATCTGCGTGTAGTAGCCCAGCCAAGCAAAGTAGATTCCAATCTTCTCTCCGTAATACTTCCTGGAGAGAGAGAGAGAGAGAGAGAGAGAAAGTATTTTTAGAGGACCATCGCTGTGTAGTCTCATCCTAGCATGGCTATTTGGGTTTTAAATAAAGGAGGCTTTTTACATAAACACTCCCATTCAGTTCACCCCTCCCACATGCTCCCCTTCACAGCGGAGCCTCAGTTTAACTATGGGACAGAAAGGATGTTATGTGTGCAGAGGCAGAGTGAGTTTCAAAGTGACCAATGAGGGGAAAAGCGTCGCAGAGGGGCCAGAGAGGGTGTCCCTTGTTCTTGATGAAGACAAGTACCGTCTTCTGAAAGACCCCCTAATATGTAGGAGTCTTCAGCCTATTCAGCTACCCACTATTACGTACTCAGAGGAAAAGCAAGAAGTGAAGTATAAATCCTAAACCTTACTGCTGATACAGTGGTCTTTCCACGTATGGGGTCCATTTCTGAGAAAAGAGTTGGTACCTCTGACCCCAGATGGTGCCACCCCACATACCAACCATGACTTTTCTATATACACGCATACCTATAGACCTATGGTGCACTAAAGGAAAGCTAGTAGGAAAATAGGAGTCGCTCTTTTTCACAAAACACCACTTTCTTTCTGACCACGGGTAAGAGAATGAACAAGAAGCAGGCAGAAACTACACCCGCCAGCGTGGCCAGTGAGGCCCGGGCAGTTGCTGTGCTGTGGGCTTCTGCTTTGTTTCCATCTTGGTCTGTGGAAACAAGCGAGACTTATGAGGGGCTGTAGGTGCTCCATGGAGCTGAGCCAGTTTCCTTGGGCCTAGATTCCCGGGAGGCTGGAGGTCTGTCCAGAGCCACAGGCTGCAAAGGAAGGCTAGGAGCCACATGGAGTGGGTTCAGACATGAGAGGAGCAGATGACATTTTCACGTGACTAGGGCTCCGTGTCTGGTTCATAGACAGCCGGAAAACAGCAGGCTTGGGGTAGTGGGAGATAAGACGTTGGCAAGGGTTGGGCCATTTCAGCACACTTTCTCTTAACTATATTCTTGCTCTGCTTTCAAAGAGGCTTATGTGATGGCAAAAGGCTTGTGGGCTGGAAGCCCGCTCCCCAGTGTGGAGGGATTACAGGGTGGTGGGCCTTTAACAGGCAGATCTAGGAAGAGGTCATGCAGAAACCACCCTCAGAAGGCATTATGCAGGTTCGTATGATACCATTACTCTCCAAGAGGACTACGTCCTGTCTCACCATGTGTTCAACCCCCTTTGTCCCCAGTGTCCCTGTCATGAGGTCACCTGCCCTAAGAAGACACACCTAGCACGTCCCTCACCAGAAAGAGTACTACGCTGTTTGGACTTGGTATCCCCCAAACTGTGTGTGAAGTAAACCTCTATGCTTTATAAAGTAGACTGACCCAGGTGTTTGTCACAATAATTCAAATTAGGGCAACACAATTCTTAAAAACCATGTATTTTGGATATGACATATTTAAAACTGGGATCCTTAGAAGCTGAATGGTCAAACTTTTGAATGGGAGAAATGTTCTGCCAAATTTAGGTAAATGGTCAAGCAGTCTTCACATGGATGTTTAGTGACAGAGAACTGAACTCTTCCTACGGCATTCCTGGTACAATAGAGTCAAAGTCAGAGAGGCTTTCCAGACCTGAGATCTGTAATAGAGACCTGTTTCCTACCGGGAACGTGAAACTGGGAATAAAGAGGCTCATTTTGGACATGATAGTCTCTGGTCCTCCAAAAGGGTTCTGTTAACATATCAGTCTAAAAAGTTAGTCTTGACTATTTTGTTTCTGTGTCAGGGTCTCACCGAGTAGCCCAGGCTAGCCTGGAGTTCCCATCCTCCTGCCGCAGTCTTCCAAGTGTTGAGACTGCAGGTGAGAATGACCAAGTCTGGCAGCTGGCAGCTAAAAGGGGCAGTCAGTCCCCAGCCATCCGACCCTGCTGCACCCCACAACTGCTGCCCAGATGCACATCTCAAAGGCATTTCACTCCACACACTGCCGCTCCACCCTGGAGCACAAGCCCCTGCCTCGTGCACACATCAGCACCTCTGTTTCCGTTTCCTTGGCACGGCCACCCCTGTTTTACCCTGCAAAGGCTGTAAACACGCTTCAGAGCCGAGTCGAGGAGCCTGCTTGGCCCGTTTTCCTCTGTACACTCGGTTCTCTCAGGCATTAACAGCCGTCCTGATGAACAGCTCTCTCTAGACTGCCCCCAACCTGGACTTCTGGGGCCCACTGAACCTTCCACTGGACTCTTTCCTATCCCATTTTTATTTCCCCACAGTGTCATTTTATTCTCCAGTGATCTCTGCTGCCATCCACTCAAACTTTATCTTCTTTTCCCACTCTGAGGTCAATAAGGGGATGTTGGAGGAACTTTTCTTTCCTGGGGCAAGGCGGCTTCCCACAGATTGTTCTTTCTCGTTTGCTTGGCTCACTTTTATAGAAAGAAAATCGACCCCTTTAGATAATCCCTGGGAATTGGAAACAAAGGTCAAGAGCCTGGGTGTGTGAGCAGTTCCTGGTGAGGAGAAGAAGGGAGCACATGGAATGGGGCTGGGGTATTAGCAAATGCGCTTGATTTACCTAGAATAAGAACCCATCAAACCACGGCAGTGCGGTCAGACACAACTGGTTTCCTGCAGAAGGAGGTGAATGAAATGGAAACTTCCCAAAGATGACAACCTAGATGACAGGCAGCTTGCCACCCTTGGGTCCTACACCCAGGGATTCAGTCAACTGCTAGCTCAAAACACTGGGGGAGTCTACGGCTGTACCACACAGAACACACCCAATCTCGCCTGAAGACTTTGCAGGCAGACTTCATCTGCATGGATATTTTCAGATTCTTCTCCTGATGTCCCTCCCCAGGCAATACTGCAGAACACCCACATGTATGGCATTTACACCACTTTAGGGACTGTGAGTGAATGAAGGATGACTTCAGGTAGATGGGAGGAGGGGCGTGGGGCATTTAAGGTGATGGTCTTTGATGTAAGGAACGTGGACAGGTCTCCTTAGTCTCAGAGGCTCCGGAAACAGGTTCCTCATGAATGCCCAAATGTGTTTACATGTATACACTCACATACTGTTTTAGCTCCTGGGTAATTAGAGTTGACAGAAATACCTCTGTGTGACAATAATCTAGACAATATCCAATGAGGGAGGACTAAGGAGGACCAAATAAGACAATTAAATGATTCTTTATAAAGTAATTAACCTAACAAACAATTTTTAATGACTGCTACCATCACAAAAACAGAAGCGACAGGGCACCATGCTAACAGAAGGACACGACACTGCATGTCAAGTATCCCTGCATAAAGCAAGCCATGCTCCTAGACAACGATGATGTTACTGCAGCAAACATGCAGGACAGGGGCGGGCTTCAACAACAAACATCACAGCGCCCAAGCCACCAGCTTCTGAACTGTAACCCTGATGTCCTGAGAGACAAGCCCCGAAGCAGTCAGACTTTCCTCTGAGATCAGGAAATGACCTCTGACAGCAGAGCAACACTGAAAATGCGCACAGCTGACCTCGCAATGAGCCAATGCCTCTAACACTTACTCCTGTGCCACAAAGACTCCTCCGCCCCCGAGAGGGAACCTCTAATCCCCCGAGAGAGAAATTCCATTCACGGTAGCATCACACTTAGAGTGTCTGCCCAGGTTAAGTCACACTGGGGCCTAGAGAGTGTGCTCTCCTGAGATGACTCAGGATGGAGCCAGTCACGCCAGAAAGACCAATCATATGATTGCCAAGTGGTGGTTGTGAGCCAAGTGAGTTGGCTGGACCTGTAGTGGAATAATCCGTCTGGACACTGTGAAAATACATTGCTCTCCTTGCTAATAAAAAGACTGATTGGCCAATGGTGAGGCAGGATTTTCGGGGCAGAGAGAATGCTGGGAAGAAGAAGAGCGGAGTTAGAGGAGATGCCAGCTAGACGCAGAGGGAGCAGAACATGTACAAAATGAGGCAATAAGTCATGAGCTATGTAGCAACACAGATGAATAGAAATGGGTTAATTTAAAATGTGAGAGTTAGCTAGTAACAAGCCTGAGCTATGGGCCAAGCATTTGTCATTAATATTAAGCCTCTGTGCATTTATTTTGGAGCCAGTAGCCCTGACAAAAACTCCACCTACATAGACCCACAGGAGTAGGAAGGGACTAGAATTTTTTTTTTCAGTACCAGCAATCAAATCTAAGGCAGGCCTTACTAAGATAAGTGCTCTACCAGTGATCTACGAGTAGATACTGGGGCACATAAGTTATGATCCATCCACTATGGGTACCTAGGGAAGTCTTGAGAAAGCCCTGGGTATCACAGAGCTGGTTGAGCCCCTCAGGCTGGCAGTGCACAGATACCACAGGGCACCCCTGAGTACTTCTCACTTGGAATGCTCTCTCCTGCTCACCTGATCAGGTCCAAGGGCTGCTTCTTGTATATGCTCCGCGGGTGGGCCCACTCCCTGTACAGGAGGTAACGCTCACTAGGACAGCTGGAGTCCTCCGACTCATAGTTGAATCTGCACTGAGGAGCCAAAAGGAAGAAATGAGCGACACAGTTCTCAGCTTATAAACCTGACTATTAAATATGGCACCAAGGGCCATTTGTGGGAACTGGGGCCCTACTTGCTGGAAGGGACAGTCATGCTGTTTAATTCTTAGTGATTCTAAAATAAGGGTGATCACATTATTGCCATAGGGGGTTGTTTGAGAATAGAGATGACAACGGATGCTTGGATAGTGAAGCTAGCAGCTGTCACTCCTAGGGAACAAGGCAGGAAGGTGGCTGGAGCCCCGTGGATGCTGATGTTCTGAAGTGAGGCAGTGTTAATCAATGAGACAACTGGGCCACTCGAGACCTCAGATCCTCACAATCAAGGACTACCTATCTGAAAGCATACCCCTTCTTGCATGGTGGGCAGATTCGGCCACTGGTGGGTTAGCAGCAGGCCATTGCAATAGCCAGTGCTTTATCGTCTCTCAGTTCAGCAATTATATCGATGACACAGAGAAAATAAGTGTCACTCACGTACAGAGCCATATTACCACGGAGCCCAGCCTTGGTGCATCCCTGATCTTTGTTTGCCTCCCCACTATACCACACAGGATCACTCCAGGCTTGGAGACAGAGAAGACCCAGCAGATGTCAAATGGATATTCTAGGACTGTGCTGCCCCACACTGACATCCAGAGAATGATGTTCAGCTATCCCTGAAGTTCAGAGGCTTCCATTGCTAATTTTGCTGGGCCACAGAAATAGAACAAACTTTCAGGCTCGGTGGCTACGCTGGCTCTCCCTGGAGGCTCAGTCTTTGCCATCCTGTCCCCGCCTCCCACTCTCTGCTTATCTGTGCGAATCAAGCACTTATTTGATGCTCTAGTTGTGTTCTGACAGATGGTACACTTTAAGACTGTTTTCACCCCCCAATGCACATAACACACAGTAGCAATGACCAAACTCAGTCGTTGCTTTCTTTGGTTGTAGAGATTTAGATTAAATTGGTAGTAAATGCAACAAAGTAACAATGCGACTGATGTGGATTTTAACATATTTCATTGACAGGGTACTGTAAACACTTTTAGATATATAGCATCCTCCCACATACGTGGTCATGAAGGACAGGAATGATCACGTTAGACTTTTCAATCCATAGGAGATGCTAGGAGCTTGATAAACACTCCTGAATCCAGTGGGTCACAGTAGTCTTTGAGCAGATCTATTATGACGTCAATAATCTGGGGCTATGTCACTGTGACATGAACGCCGATAAACCCTCTTTTTAAAACCCTGATAGAGCCTGAAATAGTACTTTAAGGGGGAAAAGTCTATTTACAGAAAATGTCAAACGAGAATTTCTAACATTTTTTTTTTCCTTACAAAACAAAGGCCCCTGCTTTTTTTCTGGTAAGGACATCTGTTAGTGATTATGAAAGTAGTTATCACTTAAATGGCAGGGACTGATATTTTATGTAAATTTAATGAACTCTCAAAACAACTCTGTGAGGTAGGAACCATTACCACACCCTCCTTACTGATAAGGACACGGGGAAACACAGAGAATACATGGTTCACAAGCCCATCTAGCTGGGGAGTGGAAGAGTAAAACTTTACTTCCAGATACTCACACAGCCTAAACACTGACCTATGTGATCTGTACTGGTGTCACATTGCCTGAGGGAGGGAACTGCTCATTCTCCCAAGTTCTTTAAACCCAGCCCTGTCTCTATGCCTAGCGACATGAGTGAATTCTTGCCCTGGATCAGTCTGTGATCCTTCACACCATTATCTTCGTCTTACAGAGGAAAGGACAGAAGGGCAAGGCATCGAGTCCTTCCCGGTGGGCACCAGAGTACTCACTGGACACCTCCAGTTTTGTTCCTTGACTTACATCATGCAGAGGGAATGCTGCCTTGTAGATTCCAGAACTGACCAGCCTATTGATCCCAAATTTGTTAACGTTGTTCATCACTTGGTATTTGACTCGAGAGAGGATGAAATAAACCTAAAAAGATTTTGAAACAGACCATGTCATCTCAATGGTAGAACAAGCGCATGCAATCATTGTTTAGCATAGCAGACATCTGTCCGCACTGAAATGATACCAATAAAACTAATAATAGTATTTTTTAATCTTTCGAGAACAGAACCACAACAACCCAACCAAGCGGCTAATTCTTCAATAGCAGGTTTCAAATCACACCGAAACAGAAACCGTATTCTGCTGAGACTTACGATGCGGCTTCTGGTGGCAGGGTTGAAGAAGGAATCTCTATCATGGATGTAAAAATCATTCATCCGGCTCTTCTCAAACGGGGCAGTGAAGAACTCCTGCTCTGGCTTGATGACACTCTCATTCACGCGGAGCACCTTGGTGAACCAGTTGAGAGTGTCGAAGGGGGAGCGGGTTTTCAGGTCGTTGGGCTTCAGGGGGAGTTTGATGTGCATGATCTCAGCGTAGGTGCACAGCACATCCCAGGGTGCGTGCACTTTGACGAACACAAGCTTGTCATCGGAAACCTAGGAAGGAACAACAGAAACCAAACAACTAGTTTCCCGGTTTTAAAGCACAGATGTCCCCCCCTCCCCGTCGTGATCCAGTAGGTTTTCAAATAAAAGTCCATGTAAACAGGACTCCAGCAAATGTGAAGATAACATTGGATCAGTAAATGACTACACTTTCTCTACTGAAAGATAATCCTTTAGTTTGGATTAAGAAACCCAGAAGTGGCAATTTTTTAAATAATTACTTGTAAAGTTTTATTTGTGTGTGCACGTGTGTGTGTGTGTGTGTGTGTGCACTTGTGCAGGTGGTCCACACAGCAGCCAGAAGAGAGTCTCAGACCCCTCGGAACTGGAGTTACTGGAAGATGTCCTGAGAATAGAACTTTGGTCCTCTACGGGAGCAGCAAGTGCTCCTAACTGCCAAGCCATTCCTCAAGACTCTAGTAATATTCAGAGTGAGAACAGTCACTGCTAATTTGTTGTCACACAATCTGTTAGTGACCTAGAATAGCAACACTGGAATACCCATAGCAATGCTGTACTAATGGAAAAAAAAAACTCTAAACCTGGAAATTGGCTGCTTCACCTGTTTTATATCTATCCATTATGCTATATGGCCACTGATGGAAAAACATTACACTCTCTGCTAGAGTTCTGTGGTCTAAGAAAGGAAACTGCAAATTATAAAACTGAAATGATCCCCTCTGAAAGACATGCACACGGTGCATCTGTTGGTCACATGTGTGGAAGTCGGAGGCTCACTCTCAGTAACCTGCGCTCACCTCCAGTCCCGCAATCCTGGGACTGAACTTGGGCCATCAGGCTTCTGTGGCGTATGCCTTTGCCTGTCGAACCATCTCCCTGGCCCGTGGTATGGGCTCTGTCTCTCTCCCTTCCCACTCTGCCTGCAGTGTGGCTGTGACTGCACGTTTCCCACGCCACACCTCAATTCCACGATGCACAAGCCCCCAAGCACAGTGGCTCACAAAGGGTTCCACATGAACTAACACTTACTGATCGTGTTGCCTCCAGCTGCAGGCCGTGACAGATGAGGTTGGACTCATACGCTTGTCTTTTCCTCTGAAAAATAAACAAGAACATATGTTAGACTGCCAGTTTTAGCAGAAAAGACCATTTTTTAAAGAAAAGAAAATAGTCAAAGGTTTTGACCTTAAAGAGACATATTTGCTTGGAATGGACACAACGAGTTGGCTGGTGATATGTAGGTATTGGCCTTAAAGAGAATGCAAGAGAGTGTACTGGATTCCCTATGCTGTCTAGAGAGTCAAGGACTGGCCTGGAGGGGCTTTGGTCCTTTGGAGGTACATAAAAATTACTGTGGTACAATCTCTGGCTCCCAAGAACACACAAAAGAACTTTTTGAGTTCCATTCACTGACGTTATTTTTCAGAGTTAAAGATTTCAGACATTTAGACTTTATTTCTAAACTATATATCCAAATGATTCAATATTAGATGCATGAAGACTTAAATGCACACCACACACACACACACACACACACACACACACACACACACACACTCTTTCCATACATGCCTTACCTAAAGACAACACAACAGTACAAACAACTCTAGCAAGATTCAAAGTATTTGCAACAAAATGTTCACAAAGTCATATACACGGCAAGGTACACAAAATAGGGAACCATCTGCGAATATACTCGCACCCCCTTGGTTACACGTCCAATTCAGTAGATGCTGGATACCCTGGATGTAGTACCAAGTCCTAGATGATCAGTCATCTGCAAACAGAGGCCCAGGCCCATAAGGAAAGTATGCAGACATGTGGCCTGCTCCTGAATTTCTGCCTTGAGATCCCCTCATGATGTATTGTAAGGTTTAAGCGGAAGCACACCCTTTCTTGCCCAGGTTGCTTTTGGACTTGACTTGGTGTTGATCACAGGAATAAAAAGGACACAAAACAATGAAGAAGCAGTTGTGCTGTGAAAGCAACAAAGCAAAATGGCGGAAGGGGGGAGGGTTAAGAACATCACCATCACTTGAACTGGAGGTCTGTTTCCTTTGGTTATCACCTCTACAACCCAGGAAAGGAAACCAAGTCCCCTGGGTCTTGTGCTTCTCATCTGTTCATACTACAGGAATGTCCTCTTGAGATTTTCGTGGGAGCGTGAGGTAAGTGGTCTGACGCAATATATATACACACACACATATATATATGTATGTATATATGTACGTACACACACATATATATACATACACATATACGTATCAGAATTTCTACTTCTTTTCTTCCTCTTTTCCTTCTTTCAAGATTTTATTTATTTATTTTATGTCTATGAGCGCTCTATTTATTCCAGAAGAGGGTGTCAGATCCCACTGTAGATAGTTGTGAACTACCATGGGATTGTTGGGAATCAAACTCAGGACCTCTGGAAGAGCAGCCAGTGCTGTTCACCACTGAGTCATCTCTCCAGCCCCAGGAATTTCCATTTCTGATAACGGCAGAGATGAGCTGAGATAACACTCTCACTGAAGACAACTGGGAATGGTGGCTGAGTCTTTCCTGTTAAAACAACTCCATCAGTCACATGCTGCCAGACGGAGGTCAAAATAATCCAGGGGAAGCGGTCAGCCACTTTCCCAGGGAGTACCACTTCTGACTTGATACTGAGGAGCACAGAAGGCCCTGAGCTGCTGTGTCCCAAACACAGAACGCTCCTATTCAGTACAATGTGGACACTCAATGTATGGCTGACCCTGAGTCCACATGCAATCCCTGATAACATTCCACAGAAACACTGGAACCTAATATGGTTTTGTTTGTTCTCAATGATTTCACAATCTAATGATTTAATAATAAGCAAATACCCCTTTGTGAATGTGCGAGATAACTCAGCAGAGAGGTCCCAAAGCAAGTGCTGGAACTTCCTCCAAGAGAGCACCCAGCTGGCCGAAGGCTCAAGGTGCTGCTTCCTCACCTGCTGCCCTGCAAGTGCTAGGACCCACTAAGGCCCTCCTCACCATCTCTCCCAATAGTCTTTGGACATTTTTATCTTTTCTACCCCTGGACTGTCTTATTTCCAGCTCGCCTTGGGGAGTAACACAGTTTACTCTTCCCTCAGCAATATCTTGTCAATCGGAGTCCAACCCCCGTGTTTGTTTTCTCATGGCATGGCCTTGGTCCTGACCACATCTTTACCAGCGAAGAAAAACACTTGGATTTTGTGGAGTTTGAATGAGAATGGTCCCCATCAGTACATATATGTGAATGTTTGGTTCCCAGTAGATAGAACTGTTTGGGAAGGGTTGGGAGGTGTGGTCTTGTTAGAAGAGGTGTGTCACTGGGGGTAGGCTTTGAGGTTTCAAGTGCCCACACCAATCCCAGTCTCAGTCAGTCAGGCAGTCAGTCTCCCCCTCCTTTGTGTGTGTGTGTGTGTGTGTGTGTCTAGGTGTGGAGGGGCATCGTGTATGTATGTGTGTGTGCAGGGCCATGGGTGTGTGTGTCTGGGTGTGTACGGGCATCATGTGTGTGTGTGT